CCTATTAGAGAGGCAAATTTTCACCGTATACTGTGGTGAACCATTAACCTAAATTATGATAAAAGCTTTCAACCTAAATAATTCACTTTTTCTGATATGAGATTATCAAATAAAAATTAGCCTATGGAGATTTTCTTAATTGTTTAAAATTAAGAAAATAAAAAAAAATAGTATGAGATATTGAAACTCTCATAAGACTTCTCACTAAATAGGATATGATAAGAAAATAAACAAACAAAGGGATTTATAAAATGGTCCAAATGTGACAATGCTTTTAAAAAAAGAAAAAAAAATAGGAAATTTTGCCTTTATAGAAACAGATCAAAATGATTCGGATAAAGAGTCTAAAGTAGTATTTATTACTAACGTCGTGTTTGGTTGGAAAATTGGATGATGGATTTAGAAAGAAAAAAGGAAAATATGTGTGAAATTAGGTAAAATATAATTATTTTTTATTCACATTTTACATATATTTTTCATTTCTCTTTCTAAATTCCTTTTCAAATCTCCCCAACCAAATACAGCATAAGTAAATATTATACATAATTTTATTTTTTACTTATTTTTCTCACTCTGAAACATAAATAAGTGTGTCTCATATACATTTATGAATGCGAGTCTCATTATTTAGGGATTGTTTGGGATAACTTAAATAAGTGTACTTTTTGTCTTTTTACGAAAAGATGTACAGAAAAGTAGAGAGGTGATGTGATGGAAAAAAAATAAAAAGATAAAAAGATAGATTATTTTAGAGTTGCCAAACTTAACCTTAGTGTCTAGAAATAAAAAAAATAAGATAATAAATGAAATTATGTATAACATTGCTCAATATTATATTTATATTTTAATTCTTTGACCATTAGAAAATAAGTCACCAATATAATAAACTTTTTTACAATGAATTAGAGAGGGAGACATTTACAATGAATTTTTTTTATAAGTCGTGCTATAGATCTCGAATATTGAGGCGTGAATTTGCCTCAAATTTGTTTAATTGGTCGTTCAGCCGATCGTCCGGCAAAGAGGCTGATAGTCACAGTCGACAAGGTGACAATCGCGGTAGACAAGTGTTTCACCCGGTCGTCCGGGTGGTCGTCTGTCCGATTGACCGGTGACCACATATTTGTGCCTGAAGCTCTCGAGGCCTGAAGCATTAATCTTTTTTTATACATTAGCTTCATTTATTCTCAATATGAAATTCTACAAAATTTTATAAAATCTTTAAAACCTTATGTAAATCACTTATTTACACCAACTGCCATGCCAAGGGCCTCGAAATTTTGATTCTTGAATGTCTCGAATAATTTTTTTTTTTTTTTTTTTTTTCTTTTTGGAAAATTGCATATACCCCTCGAAGTTTGGCTAAATTACAATATCCCCCTCGAGGTTTGAGAAATTACAAATTTTCCCTGAAGCTATATTTGCATATAACAAATTAGGGGGTAATTTGTTTATGAATTTAAAACCTCAGGAGGCAATTGTTATGAAATACAAACTCAGGGGGCGGGATGTAATTTTTGAAACTCAGGGGTATCTGTAATTTAGCCAACCTCAAGGGAGGTATAATCGTAACTTTGCCCTTTTTTTTTTTAAGGGTGGTTATGTGTAGGGGTGTGCTAAAAAATCAGACATCTCGTACCAACTCAATTGGTGTAGTTTGATAAAGTGAGTCAGTTGGATTAGACTGATTTGGTGATAAAATTGACTGATCAGTTAGGCTGCTAGTTAAAATTTGTTAATTTCATATAGTTTTGTACGAGTTCCTACTATATTTTTATTTCAAATCAGGAAGACTCAAAAGAAATTTTCCTGATTTGAAATAAAAATATAGTAGGAACTCATACAAAACTATATAGAATTAACAAATTTTAACCAGCAGTCTAACTGATCAGTTAATTTTATCACTCTATCAAACCACACAGGTCGAATTGATGCAGGATGTCTAATTTTTAACACATTCTTACACATAATCACCCTTATAAATAAATAAAAATAAAATTTTGAAGGTACTGTTTGATAACACTTACGTTTTCAGTTTTCAATTTATATTTACAAAAATTTTAAAAACTCAAATAAAAACTTTTTTGATAAATTTTTGATTTATAAATCAATGGTCTCAGTTTATAAATTTGGCCAAAAAATGTAAACTCAAAAAATGAGTTTACGTTTTGAGTTTTGAGTTTTTTATTTTTTACCACCCAACACTAGCCACCACCCGCCACCATTTTCTACCACCGTCTTCTGCCACCACCACCCACAATTATTTTCCACCATCGTCTTCCGTCGCCACCACTCATCCTCACCCACCACCTGCCACCACTTGCCATTTTTAACTAGCAGTCTAACTGATCAGTAAATTTTATCACCCTATCAAACCACACAGGCCGAATTGATGCAAGATGTCTAATTTTTAACACATTCTTACACATAATCACCCTTACAAAAAAATAAAAATAAATAAATAAAAATAAAAATTTGAAGGTGTCGTTTGGCAACACTTACGTTTTCAGTTTTCAATTTATATTTATAAAAATTTTAAAAACTCAAATAAAAACTTATTTGGTAAATTTTTTATTTATAAATCAGTGGTCTCAGTTTATAAATTTGGCCAAAAAATGTAAACTCAAAAAATGAGTTTACGTTTTGAGTTTTTTATTTTTTTATTTTTTACTACCCAGCACTAGCCACCACCCGCCACCATTTTCCACCACCGTCTTACGCCACCACCACCTGCAACCACCACTCACCACTGACCTGCCACCACTACCCACCACCCACCTGCCACCTACTCGCCACCACCATCACCACCACCACCACCACCACCACCACCCATCACCCACCTGCCATCCACCTGCCACCACCCGACCCACCACCTGCCACCATTTTCCACCACCATCTTCCGCCACCACCACCCGCCATCATTTTCCACCACCGTCTTCTGCCGCCACCACTCGTCTCCACCCACCATCCACCACCCGCCACCACTTGTCATTTCTTACTTTTTTTATATTTTTAATTTTTTTTTAAATATTTTGTTTAAACTAAACACGTTTGTAGTTTATATTTTTTTTAAAATAAACAAAAACTAATTTATAAAATTTTTATAAATATAAATTAAAAACATAAACGTTACCAAGAAATATTTGAGTCTCGAAATTTCCAGACTTCAATCATTTTTCTTAAAGCAAACCAATAAAACCCACAAAACCTATAAAGCCAAATTGTAGGATACTACAATCCGTGTTAGTTTCTCGACCATCAAAATCAAAAAGTTCAATATTTAGTGCAAAAATTTTCGCTAACACCGAATGAATCAAACCATTTACACCTTAGAGGATTTTGGTGATTGGGTTGGTTCAATCAATTGAGCTTATCAACTGTGTAGTGGTATATAAATAAAATTAAGAAAATCAAATATACAATCAATATCAAATAATGTGACGAGTCTTAATTTTATCAATTTAAAAGTAAAAGAGCAATCAAAGTGATTTCTATTCTGAAAATATCATTGACATATTATTCTAATTGAAAATTTTATATAAAAACTTTGCTAACATATAATTTTTAAGGGTAAGTTACACTTACACCTCTGAGGTTTGGGTTTAATACATATCATTCTCTGACGTTTGAAAAATTATATTAATCTCCTTGTCATTGTAATTATTTAGACAGAATGAAAATATTGAACTCATGCACTGTCTCTTTTTTTGCTTTGCTTTACTTTTTTTGTTTTTTCCCCTTTCCTTTACTTTTTTTTTTAATGTAATTTCCTCTGTTTTTCTATTAGGAGTTGATACCTTTTATATAAGCAGGGGATTTGTGAAATGAGACTATTAACCACAGGGGTGGGAATATAATTTCCAAAACGTCAAGGGTGGATAGTAATTGGACTAAATCTCAAGGGGTGTCAATGTAATTTACACAAGTTTTAAATTAACCCAAAACCATAATTACAATCTCTTCCTACTAGGATTTGGGGATACTGAGTTTTTTTTGATAATTCAAATAATTTATATTATAAGATTTGTTGAATAGAGCATCCATGTTAAAAAACCAAATTGATAGGACATCTATAATTCCGTAACAAGAGCTCATTTATTTTTCTAAAAACAAATGATTAATATGATCTTAATAATTTTTAAAAGCAATTAGAATCGGATCATAAAATTACGAATTTTTAATTAACTTAATTTTTTATATAAATAATATACTCGATAAATCTTACAAAATAAACCGTCAAAATTATTAAAAAATATTCAAAAACATCTTTGCTCCACTCAAAGAATAAGCTGATTTCTGACTTTCAAAAAGCTATAAATTATAAGCTATAAGCTAAACTAAACACATCAAAATAGCTTAAATTAAGCTGAAAGCTGAAATAAGTTATAATTAAGCTCTACCAAACAGGCACATAAGATTTGTTGAATAGATCATCCATATAAAAAAACCAAATTGATAGGACATCTATAATTCCCTAACAAGAGCGCATTTATTTTTTAAAAAACAAACGATTAATATGATCTTAATAATTTTTAAAAGCAATTAGAATCGGATCATAGAATTACAAATTTTTAATTAACTTAATTTTTTATATAAATAATATACTTAATAAATCTTACAACATAAACCGTCAAAATTATTAAAAAAGACTCAAAAACATCTTCCACCTAGACACCATAGCACCTTGCTGACCAAGGTCACACCAGTAACCCAAATCTCATACCCACCCAATAACCTCACACACACACACACACACACACACACACACACATATCAAAAGTCAATTTTCTTTGTACATTTGCAAATTGCCCAAAACCAGATGACAAACTCTTTAAACCAAAAAAAAAAAAAACAGAGAGGCTATCCTTTAGAGATTCATGTACATTTCCAATCTCTGCATATCAAACTGATTTTCTCCACCCCCAACTCAACCATATTATCCTATAATCATATAAAACTAAGCACAATATATTTTCCACAAAAAACAAAAAAACAGAGCATCAATCAGGATTCTTACAGGCACAGATCAAGAGAGAGAAGCCAACTGTGTCTTCATCTTTCTTCTGCTCCAAACTCTTCTTCTCCTTCTCCTTCTCCTTCTCCTTCTCCTCCTCCAACCACAACCTACTATCCAATCCACTTCTTGTCCTAAACATGAAGACACCATACCCAGATTTCAAATTAAAGAACCAATCATGAACATCCCACATCATATCCACCACAATCCCATCCACAAAAATCGTCTGATTCCCCCTAAAATTCCACTTCAATCTCTTCACTTCAATCACATTCTTTCTATCCACACAAACACACAACACACAACCCTTCAATCCCTTCTCTTCTCCTCCAACAACGCACCTTATCAAAATCTCATGAAACCTTCCCTTTTCGCAGAACCGTGCCTTTGTTAAATACAGAGCACTGACTCCTGAGAAATGCTCAACCCGCGATAGAAATGAGGATTTAGCAATCTTTTTCACACTGAATTCTTCACCATCAATGTCTCCGATCTGTAGACTCAGTTCTGAGTCTACGAAAACCATAACATAGAACCCGCTGATCGGTTCGGGCCCAGAATGATACTTTGCAGCAGAGAGATCCCAATGAAGCTCAATCTTTGAATTGCAAGATTCGAATCTTTTCGAGCCTTTGGTGATTCGAAATTGGCGAGAATTTGAATTGGGTTTTGGATGATCATCAGAGATAGTGATGGCGAAGCCTGGGATTGTGTGATTGGACCATGTGAGTTTGATCAAGAGTTGTTTTTTTGTGGATAGTTTGGCTCTGTAAATACATGTAACTGCGTCTTGGATTGAAGGTTTTGAGTTTGGAGAGAGAAAAGAGTTGGTTGAAGAAGGGCCTGAACAATAGGAATCTGATACCTTAATGGCATGTTCATTGTAACAAGTTGTGATGTTTCTCATGGTGGAGAAAAAAAACCCAGAAAGCCAAAAACTCTGAAATGGATAGTCCAGATTGAAAATGGTTGGCAAGATATGAGAGAGAGAGAGAGAGAGAGAGAGAGAGAGAGGGGTTTTGTCCCTTGCCTTTGCTACAAGAAAGTGGAGAGCTTGTAGGTTATAGAAGATGAGAGATCTGTTTGATTTGCTTTATGTTAGCTGTCCTTTAATCTGGCATAATTGTAACTGAAAAACCATTAGACAGTAATGAAATGAAGGAAAGCAAATACAAGTCAAAACATAGCTAAACTTATATACACAAAAATTTGGATAAATTACACTTTGGCTCTTTTATAATTTACTATTTTTTTACTTTGCTTCTTAAAAAATAATTTCACTTTGGCCGCTCACATTTAAAATTTTTCTTAATCTAATCATAAAATTAATTCATGTTCAAAATTAGATAAATGACACCACATTGACTGCCACTTTTTATAAAATATATATATATATATATATATATATATATATATTGTATTTAAATTTGAATTTAGATCATAGGTGCATGTTAAATATAATGATATATTTCAGGTCATGTGGTTTTTTTTTTTCGGTCTCCCACGGTATCCCCCGATTTTTTGGATCCAGGACTAATCCGCCGAGGAAGCTGTCGGGCGCAAATGCGGGGTCCAGGTCATGTGATTATCAATGCAGTATTTTATGTCTAAATTCTACAATCAATTTTTATATTCCCCAACATTTTGCAAAATTTACTTTAAATAATAATGTAAAATTCAATTCAATTCCAATATGTTGAGACTTAGGCCTTATTTGGGATGTCCTAAAAAAGTTAAAAAGTCAAAAAGTTACTATCTTATTTGAGTCGTATCATCTTATTTAAGTCACATCACCTCTCTACTACATCACTTCAAACTCAACCCATATTTTATAAAAAGTCAAAAAGTACACTTATTTAGAACATTCCAAACAACTCCTTACATTTAAATTAATTTTTTTAAATACTTTTCAGTTCTATACCGTAACAGTTGTTAATGGTAGTTATTAATACGAGTTATTGGCCAGCCCATCTCATTAAATATGATTCCTCTCAATCTTTAAAAAAAAGAAATCGGTAAGCGGAGACCAGATTAATCACCCTCATTCTCTTCATATTATGGTATATTTTGGGAAGTGAAATTTATTTATTTATTTATTTTTACTTAAGGAGGACTTTGTTTAAAAAAGCGTGAAAAAAATAAGTAAAAGGTGATGGAAATTGGAGATGCTATTGTGAGCAACTCATAGCAGCTTCCTGTAGTGTTTTGGTAGAGGTTTTTTCCGAGTTTTTTTTAATAATTTAAACTGTTCGTATTATAAGATTCGTTAATTAAATCATCTAAGTAAAAAATTAAATTAATTTGACATCTATAACTCTATAACAAGAGCACATTTATTTTTTTAAAAATAAACGGTTAACTTCATCTTTATAATTTTTTTAAAATAATCAGTATTTGATCCTGAGGTTACAGATTTTTAATTAACTTGATTTTTTTTTTATAGATAATATACTCGATAAACCCTACAATATGAACCGTTCAAATTATCAAAAAAGACTCGGAAAAGGCCTTCACCAGAGCACCACAAGAGGCTACTGTGATTTGCTTATAGCAGCATCCCCAAATTCAAGATGATATAATCCAAATAAATTAAAAAGCCCATAAACTATTTTATTGTTTTTTAGTTACCAAAATAGGCGTATATTTCTTCGGTGTAGTTCGTCTACCATATGTGAAAATAATAATATATAGACAGGGAGAGATTAGTTCAAAAAAAAAAAAAGACAGGGAGAGATTGATATTGATTAATGTTTGACTGTCTGAGACTTAAGAATACAAAATTACGTTTTCATTTATTTTATCGATACTAATATATTGAAGTACAATGATTAAAAAAAATGAGAAAATATAGAGTACAAAATATAAATTGAATACACATTTGTGTTCATTTTGTGTTTGTGTTTATTTTATGTACCTAATATTATTGAAAAAAATTAAAACATAAATGGCAATTATAAATAATAAAAAAAATGCTCATATTAAGAGAAATTTCAAACAATTGCAAGTTGAATAAACCTTCCATGATTGCGGAGGATCAAATTCTTGACCTCTTAGCAAGATGGTAGAGTTCTAACCAATATTATATGGAGTCTTGAAAAATTAAACAAATACTTATGTTGAACAGCTTATATTTGAACAATGATTTCGGGTGTGTCAAATACTTTTCATCCAACACTTATTATATATCTGTATTTAATACTATCATTACAAGTATATATTACTTTATAATTGTTATAAAATGAGTAAAATATCATTTTGATACAATGTCAAATATAACATCATTTTATCTCTAATAATTTATTAAAACTATAAAAATATAATCAAATTTTGCTATGTTGCAATACCTTAAATTTAAAATTTTGATGGATTCAATTTCTAAATAATACCCATACCTCATCTCCATCCAGAGTCCATGTAACATATGGTCAAACTAATAAACTAATCCGATTTGTTATAAAATTATGGTGTTAGTTTGTTAACTTGGTATCTTTGAACTAATTAAAGACATGTCTAGGCAATAGGGCAGGGAGCAAGTAAAGATTTGGTTAATTGTGACTTAAATTGTGTTTTAAAGACTTGATATAAGATTCAAAAAAAAAAAATGCTCTGATGTATTATCATTACATCTGTGGGCCCAGGTCCTGGGATAATCAATTACCAGTCTAATTTAACTCAATTCAGGGGTGTTTTGAGAAGTTGGTAAAAAGCTGACTTTTGACTTTTTACCAAGCTTTTTGGCTTTTTTGGAAGTGATTTAGAAAGTTGGTAAAAAGCTGGCTTTTTTAATTTTTGATTTAATATTTTTTAAAAGTGTCGCATTACTCCAAAATGACCAAAATATCCTTACTTTTTGATTTTTGAATTAATTAATTAAAATGTTCCAGAGGGTAGTTTGGTAAATTTGGTTGTTGCTTTTTTGGGTCTTCCCAAATAGGATTTTCAGCGTTTTGGCCAAGCTTGGCGTTTTTGACCAAATGGCAAAACATGGCTTTTTGTGTAGGTTGCCAAAACGGCACTCATAGAAAAGGACTCACCACCAAGGCACAAGTATAGCTTAACCATATACCATAGATGAGCTCAAGATTAGATCGAAATACAGAACGAGATCTTCACAGAGAATTACTGAAATTACCCAATATTTCGCTTCCTCCAAAAATTAAATCTAAATCATGCTGTATAAAATAAGGCTTTCTCCATTAGACCATCTTCAACGCTTCACCAAACATTGCATCAGATTTGAAATTTGGTAAAAAAGTCACTTTTTGCAGCTCCAATGGTTTCATCAAATTGGTATCAAAACGAGAATTCACCAAATTTTTCATCAAAGTGAGAACAGGGGAAAGATTTCACCAATTTACTGTAAGTGACCGTTGGGGAAGACCAACCAGTCAACCAACCGGTCAACCGGCCGATTGACCAACTAGTCGACCGGTTCCCTTTCAAATAAGTTGGTTCAAACAGGTCGAAAGGTTCAAAGAAGTAAAAAAAATACACTAACTGGTCGATCGGCTGGTCGACCCACCTATCAACCCCTGCTTTGATGACAATCATTAGAACAATCTGTATCAGATTGAGAAAATAGTCTTTTTTTTACTCAAATTTAATGAAAATTTGATGAACCGTTGAAGATGCTCTTAGGCTACCATTCCGATGGTGAAGTGGGGGTACTTTTGCAAGGCATCCTATAACATGGGGGGCAGAGCTAGTGATTGTGAAAGTTGGGCCCAAGAATTAAAAATACACAAAGCAGTCATTGTGCAAATCACCTACTACAATTCAAGGTGATATTTTGAAAAGTTGATAAAAAGTTAATTTCTTAACTTTTTTAGTTTATTTTATTTTTTTATGAATAAAAAAATATGAAAAGTAATATAATCCAAAATTAATAAAAAATTAAACACTGGCTTTTTTTTTTTTTTTTTTTGCTTCCCAAAAAAATACCTATACCTACGATTAAACTTTCTCATAAACGTTCAACAAAAAAACTGTCATGTGTCAATATCATTCCAATTTTATTTAACATTTTTTAAACATGGCATTATCATTTATGTTGTTCTTATCGCAATGTCATTTGACTCGTGCAAAAGTAAAAATATTTGTACCCACACCAACCACCAATGGGTGCAACCTCCTTGTAGTGGGTCAAAGAGAAAAGGGCGATGATTGGTGATCACAAATTCTGTGATTTAAATGATTTGAAAATGTCAAAATGACGTCGTTTTGGATACAAAACAACTCTGAAAATGTCAAAACGACGTCGTTTTGATATTTTCGGACCATTTGAGCCATAAAATTTGTGACCATCAAACATTTTCCAAGAGAAAATAGTCCCTATGATCAAGTAAAGAAATGATATTCACACTTTTCTTTTTCACATCTCTTTATGAGAAATTATAACAAATAAAAAAAAAATTGTGATGCTAAACAAAAAGCATAAATATTGTTTTTATACCAGACTTATAACATAATACAAATAGTTATGAGTAGGCATTTAGTGGTAGCGAAGTAAAATTTTACATTCGAATCAATAGAATAACATTAGTCAACTATAATAATTTAATTCTACTAACTCATTAATATTTTATTGTGTGGCAAAAAATAAATATTATTTTCTTGTGAGTAAGATTTTCTATATATATATTGCCAGTTAATACCTCAGACCCCCACTGGGGTGACCTCAGGGCCCCCAGTGGGGTGTGATTGGTCTGTGTTTTTTTTTTTTTTTAATCCAATAACCAACCCCACATGTGTGTGGAGGTGGTGGAAGTGATTGGAAACTGGAGGTCTCAAGCACAGCTCTTCAAAAATCTTTTGATCTTTAGCATGCGTAAAAAATTTACCCATTAAGCTATTCAAAAATTATTCTAGGTTCTACGGATGGTAATTTGTCCATTCTTACTCCACCTT